TGTATGTGTGTGTGTGTGTGTGTGTGTGTGTGTGTGTGTGTGTGCGCGTGTGTGTGTGTGTGTGTGTGTAGGGTACAAGCCCATCAGTCAGAGCGTTCAACTGAAATGCCAGAATTGTACATTCTCTTATTTCCTCATGTTTCCTGGATTCTGTGGTACTAGAATCGCCCAAGTCCCCAATCACACACACATGAATGATGAATCAAGCCAAATAATGTCTTTTTCCTCTTTCTTCTCTTTTTTAGACCCCATTGTGTCACTGACTGACATGGATTTGATCCTAAATATCTGGGTAAAGAAAACAAATTGCTCTCAGTTGATTTGCAAAGTACAGGATACCAAAACTGAATACAGAATACCTACAACTTGTCATCTGCTGTCATATGTCTGCTCCTTCACTTTTTAGTCATCAGCTCTGGCTCCCCTGCATGCAACTGTCTTTCCCTGCGGACCCAAGCTGTTGTTGTTCCCCAGGCACTCAAATACAGGGTGGGTGAGGGAAGTCTGGAGCATTTTCAAACAAATCCATATGGTTCATAATTGTGTAGATGACAAATGGCTGACACAGGAAACTTCAAGGGCTGCAGCTAGACCCCACTAGGATGATGGATGAATAGTTTATTGCCCCTGACATCCAGTAGGAGAAGTTTTATGTCAAGATGTCACTCTTTTGGACATTTTATTGAATAATCATAATCAATTATCTCCTCAGTTTTCAGGAGGTTGGTCAAATAAAACATATTTCATGGCTAAAACAGGTGGAATTTATACATAAACAAGTGTTTTAAGCAAATCCCATTAACTACCTTCTACTCAAGAAAATAATTGTACTGGATTAGCAAATGAGGCTCAGATGACTGAAGGTGTTTAAGCAAATATATTTTCTTGTCATTGCCTTGATTGGAGGTGAGAATACGCACCTTTGAGTCAGTCACACTTGTGGAGGGCAAAGGCACAGTCAAAGTCACCATGCATGGCTAATGTCATGGCCACTGTCACTCCCAACACACACTCATGGAAACCTGCACACACGCATGCATTCACACACAGATTATGTTTCTTGTTTACTTTTATTTCTTTCTCCATCTCTCCTTCTCTCTGCCTGTGTCACACACTCTCTGCTCTCACAAGTGTTGCTCAGAGGTGAGGGCTTGTTGCCCTCTCTTGTTTAATGGGCCGTCCGTTTGCCAACTGTTCCTTTGAGGGGGCCGGTGCGTCGGGCGTCGGAGCCGGGATTTGGGAGGGAGGGCCGGTGCCGCTGGATCAGACAGATGGAGGGGGGTCCGGCTCCATTCATTTAGCTCTGTGAGAACAACAGAGCCCCACTTCAAACAACAAGGACGCAACCTGCTGGCCCCATCATCTGCAAACACATATGCAGAAACACACATGCTGCAGCACATGCATACTTGTAATCAAACACACAGGCTTTATTTTTATTTTTTTAACATATTTGATCTGATATGTCTTAAATTGAAATTGAAATTCTTCCTGAAGAATGCAAATGTCACATTAAACATTAAGTTGTTACAGTCGCTGCTCACGATGCATCTGCAGCTCATCTGACACCTTGACACACATGTATGCATGTATACACATATGCACAATGCACCATACACATATGTACAGGGAGCATAAAAACACAGGTTCCACAGTGCCCATAACCTTTCCCAGCTCTTCTTTCTGTGGGACTCCCTCCTCTGCTACCACCCAACCTCCCCTCCTGAATTCACTGGCACTTCCAGAAAGCTCCAAGGCGCCAGCGGAGTGGGGCTCATCTCTCGGGAACAATAAAGCCAGATCTTCATAAAAACTTCAAAAAGGCCTCACCAAGTGTTTTATAGGTGCTTTAAAGGTTTATGAGCCCTGGGAAGGGAGGAAGGGAGGGAGAAAGAGAGAGAGAATGAGAAATGAGTGATGCAGTAATGGCATGCTTCACTTTCTCTACCTACTGCAGAAACACAGACACACACATGCCAGCATGCATACTGTATGCCACTGCTAATCTGCCAGTAAGTGCCAGGCTGAAATCGGGTGGTTTTAGTCAGGGTGGGGCAGAGGGTTGGCGGTGGATGTGAGGGGCTGAGGGAAGGGAGCAAGCGAAACAAATGATCAGTCGGTGTTGAAATGGAAGAGGGATGCCACTATGGCATCAGTAGAAAGCTGTCAAAGCAGCCGCAACATAGTGTGAACTTCTATTCAATTTGGAGCATGTGAGAGGACTGTTTTGTGTGTGTTGGACCTGTTTGCTTGAAAAGCACAGGTGCCGAGGTGTGGACCCAACCTATTGGCTGCTAATCCTCAGTTACCTCAAGAAGGGTCAAACAGAAGAGCATAGAGGTTGGGCATTCTGATACAAAGCAGATTAGAGACTGAAGCTGCTCATTTTCGAGATGCACAGACTCACAGGCAATTAACAGTATGAACTCTCCCAATTCTGGAACTTCACATTGTTTGATTCCTACATCTCTGCTGGTGGAAGCGCTGATAAAATCACCAATGTAATGATTCTCCCAGATAAACAACTTCACTTGTTCTCAGATGAAGATATTTTGATGAGTCAAAAGTTGTTGCACTTAGGCTGAGCACACTCCACTTTGAGTCTCTTTTATGAGCATGAATAGTCACTATTCAGGGTGTTTTGAAATGTTTTCTTTCTAAGTGTTCCGATAGATGCCAGGTGTTATATTTAGCTCAGGTCCTCCTGCAGTCAGAAGGTTTAAAATTAGGAGGTGTCAGAATTCCAGTGCAATTCTTAAATTCCTGTCAATAAACAGTAAAGGACTGCTCTTACAGAGGTAATGTGTTGTCAAGTGGGATGTTTTCTGGCATGATTTGTGTGTGATAAACTGCTTGGGAAAGCGTATGTGGATTTATCTTGACATAGTACAAAAGTGTAAATCTTCTACATGATCTACATGTGCATTTACACATCTATATATCAGGATTCCTCAGTGTGTGTCGCTTGTGTGCACCAGTGTGTGTTTGTGTGTCCATCTGCACATTAGTGTTTGTAGGATCTGTTGACAGGGAAGCATGCAGCATTTTATTTGCTCAAAGGCTGAAGAAACGCATTGGCGCTAGCAGAGGACTGCTGTGATGTGAGCCTGCTGAAAGCAACCTGGCCAGCCAAAATACGACCCTGGGATTGTGATTCAAATAAACATTTCACCCCACTGTACTGTGTGATAACAGAGCTGCACAACCCAAAGCTTGATTTATACTCCTGCTGCACAATTCTCTTTTTTCTTTTTCAGTGTTATTGTTTTAAAGCTGCAGTATGCAACTTTTTAAAAATATTTTTCTTGTACAAATATGCTCCAAAACCCGTGTTATTGTGGAGAGGTGCTGTTGAAGACCCAGACCCATTGAACAGAACTGGCAGCAGTGCAGAGACATTAGCTTCTAAAAGGTTTTGACTGGGACTGACCTCTGTAACCAATCAGAGATCTTCAATTATTTGTGCTTGATCAGTAGATTTTGTTGTATTCAAATTTTTTGGGAATTTCATAATGACACATATCTGAAGAACTGGGCATAGCGCGGTGGAGTGTATCAGATCGTAGCATAATGGAGCAGAGAGAGGGAGCACTGGGTACAGCAGATAGATTTGGTGTTTCATGCTAGTGCTACTTTAAGTTACACGCTGTAGCTTTAGATTTTTGTTTACCAGCAACCATATCAACTTTCAAAAATAAATGTATGTATGTAATTGAGCTGTGGTGATGTGAATCACATCACTCATCAGCCACACCATTAGAACCACCTGTCTAATATTGCGTAGGTCCTCCAGCTCTGACCCACTGAGGTATGGAGTCCACAAGACCTCTGAAGGCGTCCTCTGGTATCCCAGCAGAACATGCCTTCTAACCAGGTATATAACGCACATGCACCTGGCCATGCCAGGTCATCTTCTTCCATTACTCCGTGGTCGAGTTTTGACAGAATGCTATTGTATTTTTGAGACTGAGTTTATATCCCACAAACAAGCATATCTCTTTTTATTTACAGTGCTGCATACAGTGTTTAAAACTGATGTAATGCACATCAGCTTGAAATCGGTGGCAGGGATGTCATTATGTCAAGAGTTTTCCTGACACTAAGCCTAAACTCCATTCAAACCTGGTACAAAAGATGATGGTAATAACACTCCCTTGACATGAGCAATAGTACCATCATTGTTCATCCCTGGCGAGCGCACGCTGTGGGCTTCATGTAGCCATGCCCACCACTGACACTTTGAGAGTCTGTCTGCAGCTGCCCACCATTCAGTTTTCATCAACTGGGCAAATTCTAATGAGGTCATTGCAATCTAGCATCTGTAGAAACAAGTGCCTTCTATTTGTCGTTTACTCTCATTCATATCAGATGAATGAATGACTTTTGGGTGTGTATCATACATGTGGCTCAAACTCCCAACTAAAAGAATAATCTCCAAAGAAAATCTGATCTGCACATACTTGAAATATAAGCTTGTTATGGTCCTTATTGTTGACAAGGTTACAGTACGCCAAAATACATCATGGCTCCTAGAGGAATTTTGAGCTCTTGAATTAAGACACTGCATTACACTTAAGGCTTAAAGTGCTGTAAGTGGTCTGTCCCTCAAACAGGAAATGTAAAAAGGTCAGTATCATTTAAATATGTGTTTATTACTTGGTGGGATACACATGAAATATCCAAACTTCCTACACTAGTGTGTAGTGATCTATTAAGAGAAAACCCCACATAAACAACCAAGGCTTTCATTTTGTAATTTTCATTTATTGTTCCATAAAAATAGATTTTAAAAGAGTGACGTGATGTCTCCTTCATGACTTTGCCTCATGGATCTGCTGACAGCTCTATGTAAACATGAGGCTTTATTTTTTGACTAGAAAGGGAATTTAAACCCCATGTTCGCCTTCAGCATAATCTGGTGGCAGACTCCTGCCAATAGCTTCACTGCCCTTTGACCTCTGCAGTGATGACAGCCCCACATTCACTTACTTTCACATTTAGGACAGATACAGTACATTCCTCCTCTGGTCTTGAATGTCTATGTACAGGGTTCAGTTTCTGGTTGTGGGTTTTGTTTTTGCAGTTAGCCCTGATAAAAATCGCTTTTAACAATGCGAATAAAAAAACACATCTAAGCGCTAATACAAGTTCAAGCCATCAGTAAAACCAATTACATTATTATAACACCAGTTTGTCTTAAGAACATATTTATACAGCTGTAACATGTAAACACATCTTTGAAGGTGTTAGGGAACTCAACTTTGTAAACACTTTGAGACACCACTGTAGGTTCAACTTGATCCTGTGAACCTGGAATGCTACAGTAACTGAGGCCTGGTCACCTGACTCCACTCCTCACACGCTCCTCTTGTGGACTTTACTGGTGCTACATTTGGAAATGATGCAGGTTGTTACACTGGTATAGAACAGGAAGAATTGTAGGCTGAAAAATAACTGTCAGAAAACAAAGCATGAGATAGCTTCAAGTTTATGCACGTATGAGATGTGGAATTCAGTGTAAACAATGTACAGGTTCCCAAAAATTAGCTAAAAAGGACAAAGTAGATTGGTTAGAGGCCCAATTTATTGTGTACACACAGTTTGAAGTTTTAGTTTTAGTTTGAGTTTATTGTGTACTCCACATTTTGAAGTATAATATGTGGCTTTGCTGACAAATCCTGGGCCTCTTACCAATTTGAGTCATCCCTTTCACACTTGAATCCCTTTGGGAGACCCTGCTGTAGACTGGTGGGCACCATTTTCTGATGCACCTGCAAATACCACTGAAAAAAATAACAAAACACTGAACTGGTTAACGTTTAGCACAATATAATAACAATACTTCAGATGTACTCAGCACAAATCTGGAAGGTTTACATGCTTTTTCCAGAGATTGCAAAAACTTTAAAAGTCAAGTATTGCCTGTTTTTATTCTCTGTTTTGAAAATCCAAATTAGCTGGTTTTTATTTTGTGGTACTTGACAAGATGGCATGATGATATTAGGGGCTATGCTACAACTGGGTCCACTATACAGAGGATTTATTGCTGCAAAAAGGAGAAAAAGTGCACCAGAGAGTCAGTGCCAGGTTAAGAAGATGCAGCCTCCACCCTCCTCCCTCTCTCACTCTCTGTCAAGCTCTCTCTCCTTTGCTTGGCTGCTTCGCTACCAGACAGTACAGTGCCCAGGAGCAGTTGAGTGACAGGTTGACAGGCCAAATTGTCAAGCCGATTGCGTCCTCAAGCAGAGACACCAGCCCTCCCTTCGTTACTTCTCCCTTCCTTCCTGCCATCTGGGCCGAGTCCAGAACCCATATCCTGGGAACATGGGGCCGGTGGCTGCAGCCGACAGATGTTTGGGAATGACACAATGAGAGAGTTCATAGGAAAAGCTGTGTCTGTGTGTGGCTGGGGAAGTGATGGCGCTGCCCGTGTTGTACTGGCAGTGTACACAGCCTGAAGTGCTGGCATCAATTAAGCCAGAAGTCCAAGCATCCCTCCATTAATCTCACCAACACAATCTCTTTCCCAGGGATTTCTGACAGGCACAAAAAACTGTTTTCTTTTTGTTCCACTTTGTTATTGTTCATTTGGTGTCTATATGATGGTCTCTGATTAAAGAAGGTCTTATGTATGGGAGAATGCATGTCAAAGAAACAAATCTTGGGGTAAGATTTCAGATAAGAAGACCACAACAGAAACTATGGTAACATATTATCACTGCAGTTGTGGACAGTAACACCACAGTGAGAGAGAAATGAGTGTGGCATTTGGGAACCTGCGGACAGTTTGTATAAATCTAACAGCTTTTAAATTCATTACACATTTATCAAAACAGAATCTGCACATGACATGAAGTCTCTCTCTCTCCTGGAAGTATCACACTGTGGTGGCCCGGCTGTGTTTGAGCGCTAGTGGCGAATACTCCCTAATGCGTACACACAGCTTGCCCCTCAGCCAGGGGTTTTGAAGCTCCAGGGGACAGAAATCATCCTGAAGCCACTTTTCTTTGTTGTCCAGAACCAGCACAAGGCCAAAGTGCTGCAGCTGGTCAGGACTGTAGTAGACACACTGCTCCCTTTCACTGCCCCCTCTGCTGCCACCGAGCACGCGCCAAGACACAGCGTTCATCTCCTGCACCACCAGTTGGACCATCTCCTGTGCTGATGTGCCTGGAGTTACACAAAGCTGAAAAGCAGAAAGAGAGGAAATAATTCAGCAGCATGTCACCAGCACAACAAAAATAAAAATAAAAAACCCTTCACGAAGCATGTATTAATACCTTAACACTGGTCTCCTTTGGCAGGCCTGTGCAATACTGTGGGTACACTCTGAGTGTGGCATGACAGCCTTTCCTGAGGGCAGCAAGTGACGGTGAGGAGAGTCTCTGGGTGCCGCTGTCCTCTGATAACGTACGCACTGGTGGAAGCTGTGATAGGCAGCGCTCAGCAGAACAACAGCGATCCACTGACGAAGGTCTGTGCCACCTTTGCTGTGGCGAGGTGGTGGGTGAAGGGCATGTAGTGTGGTAGGAGTTAGGCCGGTGGTGGGCTGAGGTGGTGGAAGGGAACTCCAAGCTGCTGGTTCTAACACAGAAGGCCTGACGCTTTTCTGTAATGTGCAACAACTCGATCTGTCTGCTGGGGAGGATGAAGTCACTGTCAAACAGCTCTGGGGCACCCCTCCGCCTTTCTCCTCCACACCGAACACCTCCCCCTGCTCCACGCCTCTCGCTTTCCCTCCCATGCTGTGGATCTGAGGCCTGGAGGACATCTGGGGTGGAATCCCTTAGCACCCCCCCTCCGCGTCCACCCCCACCGAGACACATTCCTCCTCCTGAGCTGCTTCCGTCACTACGCAGGAAGCCGCGAGGCTCCAGGGGTGCAGAGGATGAGAAGGGCGAGGAGGGCAGCAGGTCCAGCTCACGGGGGCTCTGAGCACGACTGGAGTCATAATCACTGTCGGTGGTGAGGAAGACCTCAGAGGAGCCCTCCTCATCTGATAGTCCAGGGAAATCTATAGGACGTGACAAAAACAACTTGTTGATAGTTGAAGGAATCAGTATAAGAAAACTCTCTACTAAATATGTCATTTTTGTAGGACACAGATGGTTAAAGCAGTATTTTATAAGCACAGAATCTGACCTGAGTGCTTGCGGCAGGGTTCGGGGGAAGGCATGGGGGAGGGCTGAGAGGAGGTGGAGGGAGGCTTGTCGGGCATTACTTCTTTGGAGAAGTCAATTATCCAGCTTATGGAGATGCCTCCTGTTGGCTGCTTGTAGCGGGCATACTGCAAGGCATCAGTAATCCACCTGGCATCTCGCCACACCTCCTCCATTTGCTGTTGTGCAGTGAATGAGATCATAACAGATCCATTATGAGACCAGTTTGGCTCCAACGCCATACAAAAACAAACATGCTAGTCCTGAAATACATAATACTGTACAATACCTAGACTTCAGAGGAGTACAGTTGTTTTGCCTTTCACTTGCCCTCACCTGTACAGGCTGACTGGTCCTACCTGTATGTGTTCTTGGACCTGCTGATGCTTTTTTTTGGCAGCAAGGAGCTCAGCCTCAGAGAAGGCCTCCCTAAGTGCCTGCTGGGCCATCAGGGACTCCAGCTCCAGCAAAGCTGACACCCTGCAGTACTGGCCGATGAAACTGGGGCAATAGGCATTAAAGTGGACTGTGGGAGAAAGGAAACCCAATAAGGAAGAAAAGACATACAGAAAAAAAGCAGCTGGTGTCAAATATTTGTTTAACATAATCCAGAGTCTATGTGAATATGTTCCCTGTCTCTGCCTAAGAATTGATATACTGACCCAGTTCAAAGATCTGCAAGGGCAGGGTGAGGAAGCCAGAGCGGGGGGAGTAAGGATTATTTTGACCAGGGGCTGTGCACACTTCATCTGAAGGTGGCAGGAGGAGCAGGAAGGACACTTTCTCCCCAAACTCCAATACTTCCTGACTGTAGATTCGGAAGTCCTGTGCCTGTACACAGACAGAGACAGAAGATCTCAGTGGTCCTTTGGAACATTAGGTTAGTTTGACAAACCTTAAGTCAGAGGCAAATAAATGACATCATATCCACTTAAATATTTAGCTGGATAGCTCCTTTTCATTATAAGCTTACTTTCATAACATATCTGCTTTCATTTGATAGTAGTAAAGGGTGATTCAGTAAGTGCACCCAAACCACAGATGTCACATTTACTGGGAAAGGATCAGAGACTGCTAGGCCACCATGAAGTCAGTTTTCACTCATTTAAATGTCTAAAAAGTAGAACTGGTGCAAACACCAGTACTGGAATAAGAAGTAAGAAATTGCATGACTTGCTATAATCACTAATACACTGTTGGACACTGTTCTTCCCACATATATGCTAAAACCATATTTGTCTTTTTTAAGCTTTTTAAACATCAATCCCATTTGAAAGCAACATATTTAACATTTCAGATCTACTGTACATTGTAATGGCATTCTTCTCTGCTGATACATACGGTATATTAATATATATCTTCTCATAATTACTTTCCATTGTACCAGTGTCCCATAGATAGAAGAGGGTATGGTAAAAGTTAAAGCCATATAGACAATGATTGCTATTGTGCTTGGATTCAAACCATTTTCTTCTAAAGAAATCTTGTAGTATTAGTGGTCTAACCAGAACTGGCTGCCGATCCAATGGAATCATTTTTGTTGCTCTGGCTCTAGAACTTGGCTGGTTTCTACTGGTTCCATGGCATGAATCAAAACTGTTCTACACAAAATACAACAAAACTAAAACCTCATTAAACTTACTGATGAAATCACACACACTTCTCACTCTGACCTGATTGCCAGGGACATTGATGTGGGCCATCAGCTCCTTTATGGCACTACGCAGGTCCTGTAGGAGGCAATGTGGAGCACTCTGTACGTCATGGTCCATTTCCAACGACTCCTCCAGAGAGCTGAGGGCCTGCAGCCACTGCCACTCCTCTCTAAACACAGGTAAAATACACACTTACAGGATGGCAATGAAGGCATCTTTGTCCCTGTTTTGCCAGTTTAACTATCTCCTAAGAACATTTGACTTAAACCCATGCAATGTCATAATGTTTCCCACCTGGAAACATTACTGTTGTCCCGAATCTTGGTGTGACACAGGGCATTGGGGAGTTTCTGGGGCACCAATACTCGAATTTGCTCCACTGATGTACATAACTTCAGGTAGCCTAGGTACAAGCCTGGAGACAACAGCTTCCTGCTCCGCCTGTGATATGCCAGCTTCTCCTGGGAACAGCAGGTGCACAGATAAGATTGATGAAACTAGACACAAAGTCTGGCCATGTTGACTGGAACTGACTGTTCATGCTTTGCTGTTGTTAGTTCTTCAGAGAGTTGATCCAACACGTTTAAAGTGGGAATCAGCACTGCAGCCCATCAGCACATTTTCATGTATTTCATCATACAATTTGTTCATAAGTGGCCACAAACCAAATATTTCACTGAACTGTGGTTTTGCCAAATGGAGTCTCCAACATTGTTTTGGAACCACAAGGACAAACCAAGTCACACTGGAGACAAAACAGCATTGCAACAACGGTATCACGTTTACCAGTCTATATAGACAAAATCAACTTGTGGCTTGGTTCCAGAATGTGGTGGCTCTGAAAGACACAGCCACACAGTGTCAGTTACAAAATGCAAAACAATAATTAGCTTGATCATCATCATCATGTCCATCTTGTTGAAACCTAAATGTAACTTGCCACTACCCAAATGAGCAGCAAAAGGTAAGGATGATTTGAGATGTTGGGTTGGCAGGGATCCAAAATTTGATTTGAAATCTGGCATACTGATTATTGTGATGGCAAGTGTGTCCTTGCAAAGAATGCAAGAAATTGACGAGAAGAGTAATGGTGATTACTGTCTAAATAAAGAGTGTCTGCACAAGCAGCAGTCAGAATTGGAAACACATTTCAATTTACAGTCCTATTGTTTCTGTGAATGAATTTAAAAGTATGACAGAGATTTCAATAAATCAATGGTTTCCAGAGTGTCTGGGAGCACTACATGTTGCAAAATGTCTTAAACTACACGTTTTTTTCATCTTGCTAAAACTCTGGGTAACAAAAATGCAAAAGAATCAGCCTGATAACAACCACAACCACTGCTGACAAACCCTCCTGCCATTCCTAACTGCTGTGGAAAAATATTCAGTTTTGCAAGACTGAACAACTTTCTAATTACTGGCCATCTATTCCCTCTAGGACTCACGTGGAGCGTGATGAGGAGCATATCCAAGGCAGTAGGCTCTTCAGGGGACGAGATGGACTTGCGCTGGAGCTGGAGTTTGCAAAGCTGTGTCCAACGCACCCCATCCAGGTTGGAACAGGCATTCATATCCTTGAGAAGCACCAGCAGGACATTGCCATGCTTGTCTTTGATTGGCTCAAAATACACTTGGCCAAGGTCCTGGGTTCCCAGCATTCCCTGAGAAAAGATATTAGATAATAATTGTATTGTATGTCTTTTTATAGCAGAAGGATAAAAGCTTACTGTGTATATTCTGTACAGACAAGATGTTTTCAGAAGATGAGCTCATGAGGCTGTCACAATTGACACAATTTCCATTACAAATCCATAGCCCTATGAGTTTGTGATATTTAGCTATCTATTTTACTGATCAGTGTGCTACCTGTAGCTGAGAGACAGCCTGCAGCATCTTGAGGCGTGTCTGCAGAGTGCAGGAACAGGACGAATGTGACAGACTGAGACATTGTTGAAGCCATGGAATCTCCTCCCATAGATAGGAAACCTGGCGCAGGGACAACAAAATTGCTAATTATTACACATGAATAATAGCATAATCCTATTGAATAAATAATTAATGTTTATTAGTTCATAAAACTGGAACTTATTCTCATATTTTTGATCGATTATGAAAATGTATTAATGGGCTTACAGTAGGTCATCAACTGAAATCTAGCATATTTTGTTGTTTCTTTCTACATTTTTTTTCTCTTTCTTTAAGTCTGTCTGTTGACCTTGGTAAACCAGAGGAAGTCCTGCATAAGGGAGCTGGAGTAGGAATCTTCAACCTCCACAATAGGAATCTGGTCCTCTGGAGTCACTAACACATTGTCATCTCTGTAGAATATGGATGTCAGGTAAAGACCTCTGCAAATTAACACAGAAAAAGCACATGTTACAGCAAAAGTACTACAGAGGCATTCATTACAGCACAAAATGAGATAAATAAAATAAATTTACATCCTTATAAATGTGACGGTGGGACCTAAAAGTTGGCTGCTGGCATGGGAATTATGACACAAATAACACAATATAAGTGCAAGAGTTTGAAAACCTATTGTTACACAACAATTCATGGATGGATGGTTGACAGAAACATTATCTACCTTTTCAAGCTTTTAACAAATTTGCTGGTGGGTTGAAAAAGGTGGCGCAGGCTTTTCGATACTGAGTGCTTCCTGCCTTGTGCGGGAGCTTTGCACTGTTCTGTGTAGACAAGAGAAGGAAAAGAGAAAGAGAACCATGTCAGACTGCTTCTTTTAAATGATGATCATGATGCTTAAATCAGGGCACTTATATGAAACTGTTATCCAGTTTTCTTCCTAACACCAAAGAATACTATTCTCTAGAAATATCTCTCCCAGAGACAGGCCATTACCTAACTGACAACAGACTTGACATTACCAACGATAAGTTCGGAGTGAAATGTTTTCTGACATTTCATGGCGTCCAGTAGCACCATATGACAGTCATGCTGGCTGCCAACAGCAGGCGATGGGCCTTAAGGGAACCACTAGCCCCCAAGTCCCCAGGGGACACTAACTGTGTGTGTCTGTCTGTGTAGATGTGTTTACCAGCACCTCCTACAGCTGCTGGTGCATGGCATGTCTTGAGCTACAGTTATATGAGTAGAACCAAGGAGCTCTAGTAATTTGTGTGTGTCTGTATGTGTCTTAACCCTTCGCCACTGACTGACAGGGAGGGCAGTTAAGTCTGTGGGGACATGTTTATTTTAGAGGGCCCAGAGGAGGTTGGAGGCAAGAGAGTGTGGTGTGTGTATGTATGTATGTGCGTGTTTGTGTGGGCGCCTGTTGGTGAGATAATGCCCCTCCAAACTCATCAGAAACCCAAACCCTTTACAAATTCCCTCCCCTCCCAGGTGATCTTATTCCAGCCCCAGGCCACTTAAAGTCAATAAATCACCCCTTTCAGGACCATAAAAAAACAAATTTTCTCTTCAGGTGGACGAGTCAAGGTGGAGTAGCATGAAAAACAGCACCCTTCAACCCCTCTCACCTCCCCAAATTTCTCTACATTTGCGAGTCATTCAGCTTCAGTTCTCCTAGCCTCAGTCCCTGTTTGACACTGAGTAAGACAGACAAGTAGGGCCAATTGCTGGGATGCCTGTGTTAGTCAAGGCCTCTTTCACTGTTTAATTAATAGTGTTTGGACAAGACGGAGAAGGTGGTGTGGGCTGTGAACTGGGCTTCCATGGAGGTAAGTACACGGACACGTGGGAGAGTCTCTGAGTTGAAACAAGCATGTACTTGAATATTTGCATCTGTTCATGTACATGTGTATCTATGTCGGTGCCTGTCTATCTTTCTGTGTGTATATGTATGGACAGCAGACAGAACGACTGGCGGGCTGTGGGGTGTGGAGAGGGGAGGCAGCAGCAGTCACTGTTAATTTATGAGCTCTCCCGACTCCAGCACAGGACTCGTCTCTTACAGGAATAACAAACATGACCCTGGGACACACTACCTCGACTACCGTGCCTGAACTCTCAAGCTCAAGCCTGAGGAACCAAGAGCCACTCAATACTGACTATTATATTGCGTCTCGCCCTATTGCAAATATGGTCTGACCACAGTGGACAATAGTAAGTGGGATGAATGTGTTTGGGTGTGTGTGCGAGAGGAAAAGAGGGACAACTTGCTCAATGCTAAATGCAGTTTGTCCTCGTGTAAAAGTGGCAATGTGGACTGGATTTGACACTTAAGGGTCCGGCTTACAGCCAGCAGTGTTTGGGGATATAAACAGCTTGAGTGTGAGAGAACTGGATCTGCATTTTGTCACAGAGAGCGAAGTATCCAGCAGACAAAAGGCTGAGTCATGGAAAGACGTGTGGTGGTGGGGTTATTTCTGAGGTGGCATGCTGTCTTAGGGCAACTGGCTCCCGAAGTACTTGTCGTGCCTGAGATTGTAAAGTGTCTGTCAAGGTGAGATGAAACATAGCAATTGTGAGCTATGTAACACCTGCAAATTGAACATCGCTCATATCCGTGTTTGTTTAAATGTGACAGGCAAACTAAAAACAGACAGAAGCTCAGGTCAGTGTCAGAAACCCGTATCACCGTCCAGTACTCAAAACTGGACTGATGTTCAGATTAGGGTCAAGTGTATTTGTATTCTTGTAGTTTCATATGGTTATTCTAAGAATTCAATGCATGTAAGTCCATAGTTAAACCCAATGACAGCTTAAAACATATAGCATAGTAGATATAACATGAATGAGCACATCGTGTCACTATCACTACCAGGTTTGAGAATTTCGAATTTTTGCATGGTCAACCATGCAAACCGTGAACTGTCAATATTCCTTCTCAGTCTTCTAGGTTAACATGACCATCACATGGATCAAAAAGTTGCTGATACCATGGCAGGCACAGTGGTGATGAGCTTCTTTTATCTGTCCAAGTAGCTGGTCTAGTACTTCCTTCTGGCCACTCAGACGTGGAGTGCGGCCATCTACATCCCTCCAACCTGCAGACAGAGGTAAAATAAACATGCAATGTTCTGTATTTATCAAGACTCATAAGACAAATATAAGATCTCTAGACACATCACTTAAGATTTACTGTATAATAACGATGGAGAATACTTGGATGTGTGTAAAACTAATGGTCCCATCAGGCTCAGTTGTCCTTTTTTGTTTAGTGTATATTAGCAAATGTTAGCATACTAACATGCTAAACTAAGGTAATGAACATGATAAACAATAGACCTACTAAACATTAGCATGTTAACATTGACACTGTGAGCATGTTTGCATGCTGATGTTGGCATTTATCTTAAAGCACTGCTGTGCCTAAATTCAGCCTCACATCATCTAGAGTAGCAAGGATATACTCAACATAACTATACACTGTATGTATGAAGACATTTTTATCATGTGTTTGCAACTCAGACTGTATATAAACATGAACACTGCATCACCACTTCCCTTTAATATGCAAAAGTGAAGCCAAAACATCTTGACATTTTTCAACCAGATTCTCCGCAGTATTGGCCTAGTAGTTGAGTGGCGTATCAGGCCACCAATCAAAGCTGACAAATCATCTGAAATGCACCCATTTTTATATGATCAAATAACTTAATAAACAAACTTGCCAGAAAAATGATCACTTGTACATAAATCAGTAAGATAATATCTACCACAAATGGCAGAAATCACCTCTGGAAAAATGTTGTCATATTTGGACTTTGAGTTTTTAGTTTGGCTAATTGGAGGGGGCGGGTTTTATGACCTATACTGCAACCAGCCACCGGGGGGTGATTGACTCACAGTGGCGTCACTTCTGGGAGCTGCCACATCCATTTTTACATACAGTCAATGGCAGAGATAATCTGACATATTGTTTGATTGTCTGCTGCATGTTTGGTTCTACAAAATAGCTATTTAAGCATTAGGTGTAGTCTTCTCAGTATTTATAACAACATTTCTAAGGGTCCCAAATGGCAGACTGAATATAACTGGAACAAAGACAACTGTCCTTATTTGTTCTGTATCCTTGGCTCCATGGAGCAATGTTTTCAGATGGTCTATTGATTGCAGCTCAGTGTAGAAATTTCTGCTTTTCCACTGACTAAAGAAAGGACACCCAGTGTTTACTATTGCCAGTTGTTTCTTTGTTGTGTGTGTGTGTGTAAGACATAAAAATTTTTATTAGGGACAGGTTACTACTGGAAGGAGCATACTGTTTTCACTAGGATTGTGCTCAAGCTGGAATGTTTGAATACATCAACATTGTTTGGTTTATTTGAAATTGGTGAACTTTGGTCAGAGGAAAATAAACTTGACTTCTTGTTTGAACTTTAATGGAAACCTTGTTCATTTGAAGCATGTGTAAAAACCCCACTACTCAGCAGCAAGCTCTCAAACACTATTTAAGTTATGATATACTCAAAATACATGTTAATTTATTTTCTTTTCAAACTGTTTGATATTGTAACAAAAATAGCTTTCATCTATATTAAACTTGGCTAATTTGACACACTATTGTATGACTAGACAGTGCTAAACATCAGTGGGACTGGGAGGGGGTTCATCATAATCTGCTTGGGACCCCAAATATTCTTGGGCTGGCCCTGTTCCTGAGGCTTGTGTGAGGAGTGTGAGGTCTTAGTCTGTAAGCACTTTAGGAAACAGCACCCTCCCCAGAGTGTGAAAGCTGGGGTTGGCTGACAGACAGACCCACTGAGCACCACTGGACCTGGCTGCCCTGTACATATTTGAGCTGATATGTACATGCACACACATATACAGATGTACTCTGACACAAAAACATAGTGAGGCTGGCCAACTGACACAGAGCAAGCAAAGTAATACACCCTACACTGCATGATGCCTGCAAAAGCAAGACACTGCACCTACAATTACTGTAATAAGCCTTTATATCTGACCCCCTCTGTGGTTCTTTGTTTTAATTCCTGCATTTTGTTTCCTCTTCCCCAAACATGCAGGCACATTTTCAAACATGAAAACACTGAGACACATTTCCTCCTCATAGATGACCAGCTCTGCTGAGAACCTTCCTTCTGCACCTTCGGCCCTCTGTGTCCACAAGCCAGCATCCTCGCTTGTGCACTAGAGGATGTGTCAGCGATAACCCAACCCCCTACCACCAACACCTACCAACTAAACCCCAACACCCCCACCTCAACTCCCTCTCCTGGAGTCCCCTGGAGGGTGCGTGAGGGTGAAACACGGTGAGCTCTATTCCCAGAAAGGTGCCTGTCCTGACAGGACAAGCGGGGCCTTTAATGGGTGTCCACGGTCCGGTATAAGGCCCCCAGTGTTGGGGCTGTGCTGTGTGCTACAGCACAGACATGCAAATATTTCCAGTGGTAGGCCCAAATGGAAAACACAAACATGCAACATCGAAATTAGCTCTGAGAGAGTGGAGGAGGTGGAAGGGAGGGTGGTGGACAGTAGAAAAAAAAGAGAGGGAAAGCCCAGTTTCTTAAAATGAAGACACACACACACACACACACACACGCTAGCTGAAAAACACAGCGTGCTGATGAGGAAAAACATGCCCATGTGTTCCCCAGATGTGCCAGGAGTGTGCCAACACAGCCACAATCACAGTACCTATGTTGACTCTCTTACAGTTGGTGTGTACCTTTGTATAGACTTTACATGCTGCACACAAAGAACTATGAACATCAGCTCATAAATCAAGAATACACAGAATTAATTACTTAACCATTAATTCATTTACTTACAGGCAGACAAATGCAATTTTATTGTATTTTGCCAAACATAAAAACTACAGCTATACAAAACAAAACAGTCCTCAGTCTATCCCTTGTAATGTATTTGAAAACCTCAAAGATAGATAGATAGATACTGTAGATAGAGTGGGAAGCGAGAAATAGGTTCAGAGCTGCTGTAGTGACTCAACTCAGCTGTTGCTGCACATGACTTGACGGTTAACTTCTTGGCTGAACCCAGGCAACTTCTTCTGCCAGCCAGCCCCAAAAGCCATCCTGAGGCTATGGTTACACTGACTGACGTCTGCAGTGGGGGGTCCCAATACCCACCCAGCTTGCTGTCTGAGGGGAGTCCAGCTGTCACCCCAATAATGACATCAAAGCAATGTTGGAATGACGTTGGACGACCAAATCAATTGAGCAGACATGAAATGATTCTATGTCCAAGCCTTATTATGTGTGGGAAAACTACAAGAAATATCATTGCAGGACACATTAAACATACACCCCTATTTTGCTGCTAAGTTACTGGTGTTAATTTAGTGAGGCCAACCAAAACCCTGTAGTTTTGCTGTATGTAAAATCTAGGCATACACATGAACCTATGTGTATACACAATGAGGACTTACTGGAAGGTGTAGCGCAAGCAGGGGTGGAAACAACTGGAGGCCCCCAGCCCTTCATGTTGTAGGCTGACACCTGGACATAGTAATAGGTTCCCTGAAACGACAGGACATCTGACAGTTAAAGCAAAATGTGGCGCAGCTAGAGCAAAACAAAGGTGCATTTAAAAATGTACATATTGCATCTGTAAATGTACATTATATTAATGTGTGTGTGTGTGTGTGTGTGTGTGTGTGAAGTGTCTGTCTCTGTGTCCAGTATGCACACAACATGCCTCTGAAGCTTCTTTCTCAGCTAGATCAATCAAACCAGCCACTGACACTTCCTGACCTTGCCTTGACCCCTGTCATGTGACAGAAGTGAGCTTTGGCTGGCGGCAGGGACCTTAAAGGGGGGAAGGGGTTTCTCTCACACAATAACAAACATCCAGTGGAGCATCCATTTGTCTGTGATCTTAAAAATGGCAAACATAAATCAGGTGGCAGGCTACCAAGCTGCTCTTTTTTTAATCATTTTGCAACTGCTTCCTATAAATGGTCAGGAGCCACAGCTTTTAAAAAAACCAATAAAATGTTTTTTCCAATGGTGTTTGTTGCAGTGCCATAAATCTTTCACCCCCATCATTTGGGACTGATGGTGAACAAAACTTGTGTGAGGCATTTGATGCATATAATAAAAAAGAGCCGCTTGGGAAATGTCGCCTAAACAAACACCTGAAGTTTGCATGTAAATAGAATCAGAGGATGTCATGTTAGAGAATAGCTTCAAAATGTTTTCAGTCTGCACCAACAGCTGGAGAAGCTAGAGCTTAGTGGTTCTTTGTGTTGCTTTGTCACCCAGAAAATATCCTATGAAGCATGACTGTATCTGTTTAATCTGTTAGTTCTTAGAGACTAAGTTGGGAACTGATATAAGATTGCTTAAATCAAATGGTTTGATGTGCAGGGGTATAAAGGGAGGATAACTACACATGCACAGATGCTCTATCCAAGAAACCTTCAAAATAAGTTAAATTTATAGTCCAGCTCCTGGTGCTGCCTCTTGACAGCATCACATGCTGTACAAAAGGTTTATATGTGAAACAAAAAACTCAATCCAGAATCTGAAACAAAAGATTCTCCCTGATTCATACTGACTGATCCAACAGAAACACTGACGCAGAGAGTGCAGACTGTCAGTAATATGTGGAGACAGAAATTCTGACAGAACTTACAGAAGTGAGTCCAGTGATGTTGCACTGTTGGAGAGTGGTGTCCTCCACCACTATCTCACCCAACAAAGGACTGAAGGATGGAGCACTGCTCCAGCTCACTGCAAGAACAAATGCAACCACAAAAAGACATTTTTTGCCTTCAAATCTGCACCTTAAGAAAAATGAAAAATGGACTTAACACTAATAATTTTGGCTTTGTCTGAGCTTTACATAACAATAATAAAGAGTTGTTGGTTCCAAATGAAGCAGTTGGATGAGAGTGGTGCCTGACCTTTGTACTTGGTAACCACAGCTGAGCTGACACAAAGAGGTTCCTGGAAGTCCACCCTTAGACTGGTGCTGCTGCTGACAGACAGGTGAACTCCACTGGGCATGTCTGGAGGGTCTGGGTAAATAGAAAGTTGGAGAGGTAAATACAAGCAGACCAAGATTCTATGCATTATATTAAATCTACTGTAATATAATGAAGCACTTTCAATTTCCAATCTGTAAAAAGTTACAGGCAGTATCACAGAATAATGCTGATTCAACATTGAGGAAAAAGTCACTGATTGTGACTATGAACATAACTACATGAGCATCATTTTCATATGTTTACTTTCTATCTATGTTCTCAAAGCCTACCCATCAAAACTCGAGTATGTGGAATTATAAAATAAGGAAAGATCGTTTTTGCCTCTCAGTGTTGTTGGAATGGAGGAGCGTATATGCTTTCAGGGGGTGGTGGTCTACTCTGCTATTAAGTGTGTCATGAATTGCCTATAAAAATGAAAGCAGGAGTACAGGTGTGTTCAGCTTGCACACACAAATACACACACACTCTGAGTCATGTGCTAGGTTTCCTAGTGTGGAAGCCATTAAAAAGTGTGCACAAATAATAACCAAAAACAACTGCTGGACTGTTGCAATGTAACAAGCACCAAAGTCGCCCTGAAGCCTTACTAGCATGCTCAAAGCCCGCCTGCATTCGTCGGAATAGCCGGAGCCTCCACTCCCAGGCTTTTAGCTGCCTTTCCTGGTCAGATCCCTCCCGCTCTCTAGGACCCTCGCTCTGCACCTGGGCCTGAAGCTCCGACACCCGTTGCTCAGCCTCCTGCACCAAGGTGGCCAAATGCACTGCACGGCCCTCCAGACTCACAACTAATAAATACACGAGAGAGAAAGTGACAGAGAGTTAAGTCCAGAAGAAGTGTTGGTCTTACTTTTACCAAGCGTTTCAATTATGGACAAATTGCTTTTGTAGGCCAATGTTTTTAATGTCTTTGTTTGCCAAAATGCTATGGCAGATTCCTCTGTAAACGTCATTTAATGTAACTAAGCAGGGCCTCTTTAAAGATGACGTCACAGAGAAAAAGAGGCCGTGAAAATGAGATTGGAGAGACAGAGGAGTAGCCTTAATATGTGGTTATAAGGGAACCAATATGGTGGGGATATATTTAGGCTAATTTTAAACTCCCACTGTAATTTTTATTTTTGCAAAATTTGTGGAAAATGTTGCATAACTGATCTATTTATACCATATACCACAGCCTCACACAACCATCATTGGAGGAATGTTGTTCTCAAAGGGGGCAGGGTGTTACTTAAACAAGGTGAATAATGATGTTTGCTTAAACACAAATCACATCACTATAGTAGATGAAATGTAACACACAATGAAAACATTCAAATGGTAGCTGAGTAGATAGTAATAATGTCTAGTGGAGGTGTAACACAAAGATAAAGCAGTTCAGTTGTGCAAATGCATACTTTAAATGAAAGTATAAGAGAGGTAATGTAAAGTTGTTAAGGTCACAGAAGACAGTAGCGTACTGTACTTCTTTGGTGGCTCGTCATTCCTGGAGCGTTTGGGACTGGTGTGCGTCTGTGTTTAGTCTGTGTGGTCTGTGTTTGTTCATTGTAGATTCCACTGTTGAGCGTTAGATTCCACTGTTGACAGTAAGTTTAAAGCTCCGTGTCAAAATGTCCATCTGGGTGTTTAATTCTGTGGCTCTCTTGGTGTCTCCACAGTGGCTGCGAGCTTCTCTTTGTATAGGAGTGTCTCTTCTGTGTGTCAGTTTTGTTGTTCTCTTTAGCCATTACATTAAGAAAATTAGAGGGCCAGGTTGAGTTTTAAGGTTAGGGGTTACGTTAGGATCACTGCTGAGCATCCTTGGACTTGGACTCTTGGATGGATGGAAGTAACCATTGAAGGTGCATTTTGTATATCTCTGGCCTTTCCAGGCCTAGAAACTGGTCCAGATGTTGTCACCAGTGCGTATGTGTGTCTTGATTTGTCTTTATTTCACACAAAGACTGGGATCCTCAGCAGCACATTAAAGTGGAAGCACACTCAATAAGTAAACTTTAGTAAACTCTAATTCAAGCGTATTCAATTTAATGATACCTTTATAAGATGTCTGGCTCAGCACCACAGCAGCACCTGTGTGTGTGTACAAGAACAAACACAAACAGCCTAGGAGTCTTACTGGCAAATCACAGAAGAACATAACTTAATAAGGTGACTAATATTGCATGAAGATTATCGCCTTTAATTTAGCTTTGCTGCAAGAAGTAAACAGAAATGAGAAAGTTTGTGAACAGTATATGGATAAATGCACTGCTTGCGTGCATGATAGGACATTGTGTCATGAGTTAAATGGGCGTCATTGCTTTGGGCAACACCTATGGTTGCTGTGATGGGAGCTCATGTTTTTGAGGCTTTGGCTTCCACAGTGACAGTTGTAGAGTCTCAAAAAACAGCTCTAGAGCATAGCTCGGGCTACATATTTCTGTCTGAACCCGACCCGTGACTAAGAGTGTGGTATCTGAACCTGACCCGGACCCGACAAATTTATAGTATATAATGTCAGAACCTGACCTGAGTGTTTTTCCCTTTGCCATTAAACAAAGTAGGCATTCACATACTCCAGCTGCCTAGCCTAAAGTTTGGTGTACATGTCCGAACCTGACCTGGACCCGAAAATATTTTCTAAATTTCTGTCAGAACCTGGCCCAAGCCCTCAGATACCAACGGGCCCTGTTTGGTTTGGGTATCCCAAAAACCCTTTGACTGAAAACAAAAAAGGAAGCAAAAAAAAAAAAAAAAAAAAAAGAGCAGATATCTGTGGGTAAGTGAGAGATGTAGTTTTGGGCCCCGCTTGCACCATTAGTTTGCAAAGGCCACACGTTGTGATTGGCAGAAGACACTTTGGATTTTTTCACATATCACACCTTGATTAGCATACGTATCAGGCAAATCAGCTCGTTTCTTACTAAAAGCTGTGGTATCATTAGCTATGCTGTGACCTACCTGTGTGCAAGCCAAAGTTCTGTTAACAAAAGTAAAGAGCTGTCCAAACCTAGAAGGAAAAATGTACTAAAATACAAGAGACTGAATGCATAAGAGACTGTGATAACTTCAGAAGAGATTAGGTCTATTTTCTATAGATAAAACATTGAGTGTACCAGGAGAACTGATACACTCAATTTTATGTAATGATTATGTTTATGCAGGGTTTTTCCTAGGTTTTCAGAAGGCTTAGGTATGGTCTAGGTCCAATGACCTAGTGGTGGTGGTTGGAGAGTGAAATTATTTGAAGGAAATTAAGAGTTAGGAAAGAGCATAGAATTATTCCTGTTTTTTTTTTTCATTCTCATATGTCTTCTAAAGGCCTTTTTATGTTCATTCGGCTTGAGGTGCCCTGCAAAAACACTTAGGTGCTTCACCTAAGCCTTTCTATGGCAGGGAAAACCCTGTTTATGTAACTGTAATAATAGGCTTTTTAGTATCTTTTGGCAACCTAGCCAGGTGGCATCTATAAATGGCATTGCAAAGAGCACTTGGCATTTGTGAACGCTGCTCCATTCACCTAGAGTATGCACATGTGCTGGTAGAAGTGGTTCTGCAGTCAGTGCTTGTGACTGATGCTCCATGCGCCTGCGCACATGTTGAATCACCTAATCATTGTCTTCACACCCCTGGAACTGAGTAGGTACTAAGGTATGCTGTATTAATCTACTCACAGTGGGGGCTCTCCTTGGCACCAGCTTGCAGTAATATCTTGGCCATGGGCACATTGTTGGTCATGATGGCGATATCGAGGGGCAGGAGACCCTCACTATTTGGGGTGTTGAGGTCCAGCTCCTCCAGACTGTACTGGGACAGAAGCAGTTGTACTAAATCCAATTCCTGGTGTTCTACTGCCTCAAACAAAGCTTCATTACTCTGGAACTGATACACAAAAAAGTTCACATTGAGTTAAAACAGAATACTGCTGAGTGGGAAAGTTAATAATGTACTTTCAGACATTGCAGCTTTTATCAGTGAATGTCAAACACTACAATCATGTGCAACATGCTCTTCCTGTACACACACAATTTTTCTCTATATACTTTCTGTCTTTCTGCATGTGGGATGGTGGGTGATGAACATGTTACCACCTGATGTTGTCTTAGTATCCAAGCCTATGTTTTTCCTGGCTATTTTTAGATTACAATGTTCCTCTGCTTATTATTTTTTCTTTTTCCCTCTTTCTGTCTTACTATGGTGGTTTTGCGCAGCCTCTCTTTGTCCCCTCCCCGTCCTGACACCACACTGTCCTCCAGAGCAGGGGGGTTGGTGCTCACTCGGAACTTTCCAGACAAGTTGCGGTAAAGACGGCGAGCTGCGCTTGGCGAGGACAGACTGGCTGACTTGCGGGCCTGGGGTGGCTGGTGGGTCTTGTCCCCCCTCATGGGCTGCGTCATCTTGGCAGAGTCAACCCTGAAGGAGAAATGAGTGGGTGAGACAGAAGAGGGACATGTGGGAGAAATTAGTGTCATACAGCACAATGACCCTTTGGGTGGATGGCTTGGTACAATATATGAAACATGAGTCTCCCCTAAGTGAGCGAGGCTCAGTTCCAATGTGTAAAGTGTGTGTGTTTCACCTAATTAAGTAGTTTTTGTTCCTTAATCTATCAAAGTAGTTTGTGTGACAAAACAGAATAAAACCATAACTCTTTCATAATGCATGACATTTTCCATGATGCTGGCATTCTGCTACACTTGCCATCATGTTTATGGGTGTTCCCATGACAAATAAAGACGGTTAAGCTTGCCGGTCTGGTGTTTGTTGTTGTTAATGTTGGCAGAGGTCTTGCAATTCTGCCAGTCAGCATAGGACTGTGATTTCAGGAGATGCTCCTACAGGTAGAGGGACGTAACAAACAACCATGGGGCATCATACAGTACAGGTTGGAGGACCTGTTGCTACGGCACTACCTGTCAAGATTCTTTGACTGTGACCCCTTAGAACAAACCTAAGCCCACACGACCCCTAAGAAGAATGGGAAAACAACAAATCTACTAGAAGACTTATTTTGCCTTTTTAATTTCTGAAAATCATCCAAAAAAAAAGGAAAGTACAAAACATGAAATAATACATTTACATAGTTCAAAAATAGTTATTTTAATCTTATTAATACCACCACATTTTTTCCAACACCTGACTATGAATCACTGATCTATGGCATGGTGATATATTACACTGATCTGCCAGATGGACACCATGTTGGCATCTCAGTCATCGGCGTCATGTGAGTCACGGTAATGTGGTCATGCCAGCCTGGCAGGCTGTTTTCCAGTGCTGCTCTGTATTGTCATCTCACTCATATGACTAAAAGATCACCATCTCTTGCCCCTGGTGTCTTGGCATCACTGGTATGGCGACTATGCCGCCCCTCTCAGTTTTGCCCTGGGAACTATGTAGATGATGGTGTATTTCTAGGGTGAGTCTGGGACATGGTGTTCACACACACTCAACTGCTGAAGAAAATGTCAGCAAGACTCTACAGGCAATGGTGATAAACCCTGTGATTGCTCCCACCAAACACAGATAGAGTGATAAATGAATTCCTCAAGGACATACTTTCAACAGCTTTTGCTATTTTATTCCACCCTCCTCTCCTAACAGCTTCTGAACTTGTTTGTCTTTTTCTCATCTCCTCACCTCTGTTTTTCTGCTCCTCTCATTTCCCTTGCTCCTGGCCTTTCACTCTTTTTTTTTTCCTTATTGCTTGTCATTTCTTCCCCCTTCGCTCACTCCCTCATGCCTCTCTTTATCCTTTGATTAAACTCTAATGCCGATCTGACTGTAATCAAATAATCTTTCTGAAACAGACATGGTTATTTTAGGGCCACAATGTCTGCATACTCACTTTACTTTGATAATATCTGTTAAGTTAGTAAAAACATTTCAACGTGAATTGTAAGACAGTAATTTGGTCATTAGTACATCTGATTTTTAAGACATTTGAGTTTGATTTTTCATTTGCTGACTTAATCCTTACAAGGCTTTGCAGTGATCAAAAGATCATAATTGGAATCCCTACAGAAATGTTTGTCTTGAGCCCAGTGTCCTGGTCCAATTTTTGAGAAATGCTCGCTTATTAGCAGTCACTCTGCAAAACACCATCAGTTAAACACCACAAATGTAAATGTTGTTATTAAACAGCAGCAGTTTGAACAGGAGCAGGCAGAGGTTGAGCTAAGTCAATAAAGGTTGTGCTAGTCGTGCCATATGCCAAGAAGTATCACACAGGCCAACAATAGATTTGTCAAGGTGAGAACATCTGTAGGAAAAATTTTATTTATACTGCCACTCCACTATGGACATGTGAGCCACCATGAGCACACACACACACACACACACACAAACCCAGCTCCCCAACACATGCAGTTTGTACAACAGCTGACAGCGGCCTACAATGTAGACTTTAAAGCAGCTCCAAGCCCCCGCAACAAGCACTCTTTCACAGGGCCAATACACCTAAAATACCCCCGATCCCCATCCCTTCCCACTCCGTCCCATCCATCTCCACTCCATCCCTTAATAGAGGCTTTATTTTAGACATCCTCATGTTCCCGGCTGAGCCTAACCTATTCCAGGGTTCCAGATAAAGCATGGCAGGTATTTGGAATAATTTTTCCATGGGCCTGGCCTGGAAGATAAAACAAGAGATATATTCGTAATGCGTGTGCCGGTATCCCATTTCAAAGAGAAAGCCCATTGGAATCCAGCCCCAGGCTTATTGTTATTTGCCTAAGATGGAACAGGCAACGTTTGCTTTCTGTCTGCAGGACAGCGCTCCATCACTCTCTGATGACAAAGGATTGTGCAGCATGCTGTGGTGTGTCTGTGTATTTTCAAAGATATGCAGCATCCTACATGTGAGACTGGAACATCATCTTTTCTGATTACTCCAGAGGAAAAACTATAAGCAACAATCGAGAGACAATTAAAACAAAAAGTTAAGCTATACAAAATCCTGTCCTAACAAATACAGTACTGTGCATGTCCCAGAAAGGGAATGGGTGATGATAAGTAATGAATATAAGGATTTCAGCACAGGTTGCCATCATCTGATTGTAAACCAATGATCACTGTGATGAGTTTATGCTGTTGTTACCTCATCCAGTCAGTGGTCTCAGTGGTGATTGAACAGGAACATATGCTGACTGTGTGCAGCTCTATGTCACACAATTTCTTACACATTTACCAGTTTTGGGAAGCATGAAACTGTTGTTCTGGGAAACCAAATTCTTTACTCAAAGCCAGGCTCCATGTTTGGCCTCCAGTCAATCCCACATCAAATAAACCCAGCCTGCTATAGTAAGACTGCATCTGCCCCCTTAAACAATCAACATCCCCAGGTTGCAAATGCTTATACACACAGCATTCACTTTATTACAGTATTTAGCCTGTTTGCACAACCAGCTTTGTCCTCCAGACCATTAATCCCATGTAAACAAATACTACATATAAAAGAGGGGTCCAGATATTTACTTAACTAAAAGTATACTAAACGTCAAGATGTGATTTAGGCAAAGGATAAATAATTGTTGGTGCCTACAGAAATGGCAGAGTTTCTGGAATTTTTGCGCATGCTAAAAGGTGGGCACGAGTATACACATAACAGCTCTGAAAACTGCTGTGCAGTTCATCTTTGAGGCACTTCAAAGCAAATCTGCAACCTGACAGTGAAGTGGAAAATGTTGCTAGGCCTGTCAGATGTCAGTTTATGTTGGAACATCCACAGTAAATGGCAGAGTCAAAATCATAACAAAGAATGAATCCATGCAACTTATTGTCAGCAGTACAAGAGAAGTCACACCTGTTTTTTTTTTCTGGCAGTTCAATATGTCAGAATTGTAACTGAATATATTTTTTTCCTCTTCCTCACCGTCACCAGCGGGGTTACATTTTCTTGTCACTTTTGCAGCCCCTCTCTTCTTTCAGTCTTCTTGTCTCTCTCACACACAATTTTGTTTTTGTTTCTACTGCCTCTGTGTATTATTTAGTGGAGCACATTCTTGATGCAACTCAAGGAGAAATCAGGAGCAATGAATCTCCCTGCTAATGCAAATACAGCAGAGTTGATGTCAGGTAAGAATGAGATTGCATAGTTGAAATCCCTATTTTTATACAATTATTTGGTCATCACTACTGGGCGATGTAGGACAAACAGGAACTTGAATACATGCAGAAAAAATGTTCTTGGCCGGTGCTTTCTGCTTCTATAAATATAGATAAGAACAATTTAATGTGTAAACAATGGAAAAATGTGGTGTGGCACGTACAGACACAAAGAGTTTATAGTAAGCAGGTTTTGCGGCACAATGTGTGTACGTGTGCGTATGTGTACATGAACATGTAGGCTCCAGAAAAGGGGATTATAAGGATTGTTGTCCATATTTGCTACCGCAAGAAAGATATTTTAATAGTAAGAAGCAAACAATACAACTATGGTAATGCTAAGTGAAGAGAGCAAACAATGTGAATAGATGCAGACAGTTATGAAGCCATATCCTTGAGGTTGGAGCTGTGTAAAAGATTTTACCCCCCCCCCCAATAAGAACTGTATGCTGTTGAGGCCAAACTCATTTCCTTGATTCCTCACCCCACCTTCTCTGTCTCCTTTTGCCTCTGTTCTGCTTATGCCATCTCATCCCAGTGTGTTACAGGGTCAGCTGTGTGCTGACAGGAACCCCCATCCCCACTACACACAGTTTCCAAACTCCACACCAGAGCTAGCTGGCTGCCAGAAGAAGACACACATGTTAGTAGTGTGTGTCTAATTGTGTTTATTACACACAGGCAAAAATGGTCATTCATATTAGTTGACATGTATTGCAGCGTTTGTCAACATTGATACCACAAACTAAACACAGAACTGGGGATAGGTAGATGGATAGAGAGAGAGACGCAGAGCAAGCAAAGAGCGGCACTAGAAGGACAGTACTTGCTGAAAACAGGGCGGTGGGGGTTAGCGAGGCAAACAGCGAGAGGAGAAAGTTGCACAAACTTACTCACACACACACACACACATGCAGAGTACACTGGCTGCTCTAAATGTGGCTTGTAGAAGGAAATTCTGAAATCTGAGTCTTGGCACCAGACAGGCTGGAAGCAGGAAGGCTGCTGGACACACAGAGGCAGAGAGAGAGGGAGAGAGGATGGAGGGATGAGGGGGGCTGTATTAATAAAATTCATATAGCTGTCCCCTCTGTTCGGCTCTTATCTGCTAATAGGCAACATGAGGCCAGGCCAGCATGAGTGTGTTAATGTTCCAGTCATATACATTTACTAAAAACATCCCCTTTCATTTTATTCCCATGGCGTCTACATAGTGGGTTCTGGATGGATTATCCTATCAGATGTGCATTTTAAAAGTGGTAGACCTGCCTAGAAGCAATGTACCTCATCAGCAAGATTGCTTAAGT